TTCCAGCGCTCCGGCAGCCCCTCTAGCAAGTGGAAACCTATTTGCTGTTCCTGCATTCCACTGTGTGGCTGGTGTACTAGGAGCGTTAGCTCTGGGTGGGCTTCCCAGAGCTTGCTCTGCCACTCTTCCTCCAACAGCTGCTCTAGGCCTCGGCCTGGGGAGCTGGCTTTGCCCTCCTGCAGTGCTGCAGCAAGCCTGGAGGAGCTGCAGATCTTCCAGAAGCCTTGGCGTTTCCTGGAAACCAGGTGTCGCCTATGCCCAGCACCAGCCCCTGCCAGCTCCTTTCTTGGCTCAGGAGCATGGTGTGACCTGACTCCCACTAGGGCATGCCAGGTGCTAAATGTCTCTTCTACCAGTTGAGCTAAGGCTTGGCACAGTGTTTCGCCCCAGTGGGTGTTTAGGGGAGCGGTGAGCAGGGACCTGGCTCTCTGGGCCTGTCTGAGCTAGTGATCCCCTTGCCAGGCTGGCAAGACGTCGGCCTCTGCCCGGCTCCACGTGCTGCTCTCTGGCTGCTTATGGAAGGATGGAGCATGAGTGTGCTGTCACCTGGGAGGGGCTGCAGCTGCCCCTGCCTTTCCAGTCTCCTGTGAGAGCTCAGAGATTTGACCTGTGGCACTTTATTTTGAGTGACAAGGTACAGCTTGAGAACCCTTTAGCCTGAAGCAACCTCAGTCGTCTTGGATTTGGGTACCTCTGGAAGAGGTGCTCATTAAAAGTAAAAGGAGGCCAAGAATTTAACACAAATATAGTCATTGTTCCTAGAGTTTTGATCTTGTAAGTGTGGGATATGACACAATCTTTTTAAAAGATTGTGTAAAAGGAGGATGGTTAAGTGACTCAAAATAAGATAAAATGCTGGGGCCCTCCCTGGTGGTACAGCTGGTTAGGGCATAGCACTGCAAGCTGGCTGCAGCCACTTCAGTGTGAGTTCTATTACCAGCCCTGGAGGTGACCCACATGGCTCAGCAGACCTCTTCTGGCCCGCCCGCTGTTCCCCTCAGCAGTGTACTTCTTTGATCTGCCTGTTCTGTTCCCCACTCTGCCTCTGGTGAATCCTCTCACCTCCCCTGCACCTCTGGCCTGTGCCCCAGTTCTGTATGCATAGATAAATAAATCTTTAAAAAAAGAAAAGAAAATGCCAACTGCCTTGTAGTATGCACTGGGTTCTGGTGGGCTGGGATACCATTTCCAGTGGTATTTCCCTGCAGTGTCCAAAACATCTTAATTGAATGATGAAGACGGGGTGCTCGGGAAAACTGTTTTTGGATGGCTCAGCAGGGCTCCGGGTGATACTGGTGTTAATGTTGAGGGTGCACAGGAAGCTTGAGAAGAAATCATTTTCTAAGCTGGGTATAGGAAAAGGTTGCTTTATAATAATAGGATTTCTTACTTCAAATATGTATGTAATATATCCATAAATTAGTCAAAGTTAAAAATAGCGATTTGACTCTGTAACTTACATCCCTAATTTCATACAATCAAGATGGGGCAGGACACTGGGACCTTTTCCTTGGCCTGTTGCCTTCACTGCTGCTGTTCTGAGGGCCGTGTGGTGATTCTTCCTGAAGCCTGTGAGGTGGCACTGTTGAGGGGAGGTGTTTTCTCTGCCTCTCCCTTTCCCCTCTCTTTCCTTTATTCTAGGGCATCTGTCTGCCTTCTGCTAGGCACCAGGCCCAGGCCTGAACTGTGGGTTCAGTAAGATCCAGCCTCTCTCCTGAGACCATGGCTGCAAACCTGACATTGGAGCCTGTGTGTGTGGATTCTTATTTGAGGTGTCTGTGCTTTGCTTCTTGCTGCAGAAAGTATATTCCAAGAAACATATGAATTCATCTTTAAGTAGATTTATGATATGAAATATTCATTGGCATCAACTTCACAGACAGCACTTGGAACAGCGTCCTAAGGACAGTTTGTCCTCATAAATCTATTAATGCTGAGGGACGTGATTGTCTCCTGTGAAGCTTTGGAGAGAGATGAGGGCCCAGGTAGGGGAAGAAGCTGGCTGCCGATATCTCTCTATCTCCCCGAGCGTGGCTGTGACAGGCCAGGCCTGCTCTGAGTGAGGGAGTGAGTGTGTTTGGTTGTACATTTTCATTCTCCTTGCCTTTTTATTCATCATACAGATGCTTCTATTTCGGAGACAGCCCTCAGCTTCCAGCTCATGTCAAATTCCAGCTTCCTGCAGTGGTTTGGAGGTATAATGAGGCTCAGAGGGAAAAGCTGGCTCATGAGTGAGAAGAGGGTCTCGGAGACCGAGGGGGCAAGGCAGGATGCTGTCTCTGAGAACTAAGCGTGGGGTGTAAGCCCTGAGCTGAGTGCTTCATCTGCTTGTTCCAGGTGGCTCTGAAACCACCACGTGACTTGGCGGTTGATCTCTGCATTTGAGACTCAACAAGGTCTAGTCACTGTTCCAAGTGAAGGTCATTACGTTCAGCACACCTGTACTGGTGGCCACAGTATGTCCTAAGGCTGGGCCCAGAACAGTCAGAGCCTGCGGCCAGTCGCCCCAGCTAGCTGATGCAGAGACAGGCCTCAGGAGGAGCCAGGGAAGCACGTGATTCGGGGTGCAGAGGAGGATGTGAGGGGTTGTGGGAAGCTGGAGTAGGAGTCCAGCAAAGTTGGAAGGCTAGATGGGGATTCACCAGGCAGAGGAGGGATGAGAGGGAGTGGTGGGCTGGTGGAGGCAATTCTGGATGGCACAGGTACAACATTACACGAACATAGGATGCCAGCGTGTGGTGGACAGGAAGGACTCTCCAGTTATGCCTAATTACCGGAGGAGGGGAGTCCACTGTGGTAGCATTTTACATGGGGAATGTGACTGACGCAGGGCAGTGAGGAAGCTTCAGAGGTGTTGAAAGCACAGAGAGATGCACCTGTATATTTAGCAGGTTGTTCTAGGACAAGGCTGGGTTGGAGGGGTTGAGGCAGGAGGCAAGGAAACCTGTCAGGGCTTGTCATGTGCCTGCATCAGAAGTCCCAGGGCAGGTGAGGGGAGCCGACGGAGTGTAGGGAGCACAGGATATAATTTGAGGTCTGTGTTGGGAAACAGATTCCCCATTTCAGGCTAAGAAATCCCAAAAAAGAAGTCAGAATAAGCAAAGAAAAGCAACCAGGAAAAGGATAAAGAAAACAAGTATTTAGAAATGTCAAGAAAAATTTTAAAAGGTTGTAAATAGAGACACTATTTAAAGTTACCGTTAGGGAATGAGTAGGACTCACGCAATATAAAACTTGTTGTAGGTTTAATAGTGTTTTAGAAATTTAACTAGACCTAAGGGCAAAGCAAACTTAAGTTGGGCCCTCCCTGGTGGCGCAGCGGGTTAAAGCACAGCACTGAGAATCTAAAGCCGCTTCCGCATGAGTTCGATTCCTGCCTGCCCCGGAGGTGACCACATGGCGTGGCAGACCTCTCCTGACCCGCCCGCTGCTCCCCTCAGCAGTGTGCTTCGTCAATCTGCCCGTTCTGCTCCCCACTTTGTGTCTGGTGAATCCTCTCACTACCCCTGTACCTCTCTGGCCTGTATCCCAGTTCTGTATGCACAAATAAATAAGTCTTTGAAAAAAAAAAAAAGCGAACTTAAGTGAGTCAAGACAAAAACAGGTTTCTGACCAAAAACAGAACCAAGTCAGGAAGTGCTGCAAGTGGTGTTCCATCCTTGCAGGGCCTTGAGAGGTGGTTATTTTGATGTCAGGTCACTGAAGGTTCTGGAAGTGCCAGCTGGGCCCATGAGACTGGCCTGGGCAGGAAGCTGAGTACAGAGAAGGGCAGATGCCCGGGGAGCCCTGCTGCTTGCCAGCTCTGGCTCCATGCACGCCCAGGTTTGCTGCTGCTGGCACAGGGCCGGGCCAGGGACAGCAGCCTGGGTGGTGTGGCCTCGCCTTTCACTGCCGGTGCCCCGTTCTGGTAGGTTGTGGCCCTGGCGTGAATGAGCTGGTGGCCCAGCAGCCTGTGTCGGCCTCATAGGCGCGTCCTGTCGTGTGAGCTACTGGGAAGAGAGAGGTGGAGGCTCCTCGGTGAAGGTCGAGCAAGGAGGAGCAGGAAGAGCCATCCTTCCGCTGCAGGCTGTATTTATTGAACACTCCCGTGTGCAGCAGAAGATGCCACAGTAGATACTGTGGGGCTCTCAGAGTAACAGGGAAACACGAAAGATTTGTGGACCGCATGGTCATTTGGCACCTTGTAGAGGCTGGGGATGGATTTACAATCTGGACTAACGTCAGACAAGGAGGCCAAGCCTTTGGGGTCCTACTAGTGTTCTCCTCTATGCCGGTCACCGGTCCGTGCTGACGGCACCCCCCTCCAGTGCTGTCGTTAAGGAAGGAGGACGCATTTGAAGTGAAAAGAGTGTAGGACTGGAAACCTGGAGACTGGGGTTCAGGTTCTGCCTCTGCCCCCAAGCTCTGAGCATCTGCCTTCTCACTTAGAGCTACAATAGCTGCGTGAAGTCCCCGGTTGTCATGGGGATCTGGGTGTGCGTACGAGGGCTTCGTGGCCTGCAGAGCTGCGTCCAGCAGCCGGTGACATCTCTAGACCGTGGCACCTGGCTATTCCTTATATCCCTCGCATATCTCCGTTAGCTGACTGAGTTAACCAAGGAGTTTGTTGCCAGGCATTTTCCAGTTGCCTCTGCTTAGCTACAGGTAGTTGCCACCAGGAGTGGTCAGCAGCCATCACCCAGACTAACTTGATGAGTCTGAGCTTTAGGACTAGACATTTTAACAGTTTCCGATTTCAGGATGGCCCAGCTTGAAGGTCAGGGTGAAAAGCAGACCGCGGCTGCTCCCGCTCCTGGCCCTCACTCCCACCTCCCTTCCACCACACACCCCCACACATGCGCCCGCACACCCCTCACTCCCACAGTCCCCGGTCCCCGAGCCAGCCTCTCTCACTGCACCCCGGCTCCTGGACCCAGGGCAGTGTCTGTTCCCCTTTGGAGCCCCGTGGGTGCCGGGTAGCTGGCCCTCTGCTCACGTGTGGCTTCCTCTGCCTGTTGCAGGTTGTCTTCCACGACGTCTCTGTGCTGACGGACAAGCTCTTCCCCGTGGTGGAGGCCATGCAGAAGCACTTCAGCGCAGGCTCGGGGAGCTACTACAGTGACTCCATCTTCTTCCTCTCAGTCGCCATGCATCAGATCATGCCCAAAGGTAACCTGGATGGCCATGGGCAGTGCCCCTGGAGTTGACTTTTGCCTCCATTGCTCGGGCCCTGGAGCTGCCGTGTCTTGTATCAGAGAGAAGAGTTCTGCTGAAACACAGGGGCGGGGAGAGGGCACTGGGGTATCCTTTGTGTGACAGAGATTCCTGTATAGAGTCCAGGGCAGGCCCGGGGCTGCTCAGCTCCCAGGGCCCATCGGCCAGGACGCAGCTGGGTTGTGCACTGTGCTGCCTCTGGACTCAGGGCAGCTGGCCCAGCTGATTCTGCCCCTGCCATGCACTCTCTGCGGTCTCAGTTTGCTCATCTACAAAAATGGCTGGTTGGACTAGGTGGCTGTCCATCCAAATCAGTTATCTTGCTCTTTCTAGTTTGAACTTACGCACATCTAACTTCAGGGCATCAGCTCTAGATATAAGAGGTGCCAACTGACTGAACACGACTTTTTTTTTTGAAACTCTGAAACACAATGAAAAGATTCCCTGGGCTTTGGTCCCTTCAGGGAGAAGGAGACTCTTTCCTGGTTGGGTTGGTGTGGAAGTGCTGACAGGTCTCGTCATCCTTGGACTGGAAGCCTGGGGTGGGAAAAGCGTCTGTTCCCCTGAGTATGTCGCTTGAGGTCCTGCCTGGTGTTTGCCCCAGAAAACAGGGTTATTTCTCTGCATCAAACTCCTCTTCCCATCTTCCTTCTGGAGCAGGAGGGCTCCCTTTCTGTGTCTGAACCACCTTTAACGTATGTGTACTCCTTTTCCTATTCAAAAGTAATACCTGTAAAAAAAAATCTGAAAGCCACATTGAAATATAAAGCTACTATCCCTTTACTACTACATGAAAATGATCACCATTTATTCTGTCTTAGAGCTTCTTAAAAATGTAAGCACAATAGGAGTTATACTATATATTTAAGGTATTCTGAGTTTTTTTTATATGTATATCAAAATGTGAAGTGGGCCCATCATTTAAACTCCTAATGAAGGAAACAGCACAAGGAAAACTGTCTCTTGACTTTCAGTTAATGTCACTCATCACCATCCTCTGTGTAATCACAGTCTTTGAAATTTTATTGAATCATTCCATTGAAGTCAATGAACCTTAGTTCACTGTATCCTTTTCCTGTTCTGAGCTTCCTAGATTCTTTCTATATTTTTCCTACCATTAATTTTACTGTGCTAACTATCCACATGCATAAAGATTCTTTTCTCTCATTAGCATTATTTCCTTAGGATAGCTTCCCAGGGTAGAATTACTGGGCCACAGTTGATTCTCCCAAAGTCAATATGAATGAACCCTTCCCCCCGGACTGTGTCTAGTGTCCTTAGCTTGCACTCACACCTGGGGGAGGCTAACCGATGCCTGACCTTTGTAGGGGCTGCAGGCAGCCACATAAAAGCTTCAAGACAGTTGTTGTCCCCACTTAACAGGAGAGGAAAGAGGAGCTGAGGTCAGGCCAGTCTTCCACATTTTAGCGCACGCTGGGCCTCCTTCTATGGCTTCTGACTCCTTGGCCATTGCTCAGTCTGTTGTCCAAAGCTGGATGTCCAGCCTCTTACCTATACAGCCCCCAGTGGCTCCCGAAACCTTCTTCTCTCTCCATACTGGCCCCTATCAGTGCCCTGAGCGAGGCCCAGTCCAGGGTAGGTGGGTGGCCAACCCAGTGAGCTTGTCTCCCGTGGACTAGCACTGCCCAGGCCACATCTGCTGGGGGACAAGTTAGGGGGCCCACAGATGGAACACTGGCTCCAGTTTTGGTCTGGCCTTGTTCTTCATGTTGCTGGAGGGGGCTTGTGTGGCCATCCTGCTGCTCACGCCTGCCTGCCCTTGTGTCCGACGCAGGCACACAGTCCCTCTGTTCCTCACTCATGCCTTTTATCTCCTTCTGTCTGTGGTTCGGTTTGTCACCACTGGCAGCATTTAATGCAGTGGGACAGAAACCATTTTTTGTCCGACTGGAGTGAGTGGAGTGAAGAACAGCTCCTTCCATAAGGATTACCAGCCCCTTTCTCCAGTGTCCATGGCTCCAAGGACCTGTTCGTCACCTGGGGCCTAGAAACAGACCCCTACAGCGACTGAATTCTATGCCTGGTCCATGGTTGTGGGGGGCTTCTCCCAGGGCAGGAAAGGCAGGTACAGTGCGTAAGGCCGTCTGGAGACCACAATACTTTTCGGGAAGACTCTGTCTTGTGGCCAAGCTTTCAAAAATCGTCCTATGTTTGCGTGACACATGTTGCCTATCCTGGGTGTGTTGGAGCTATTTGCTGGGTTGCTGCTTCCTGAGCTCACGGTGGCCAGGTGGGAGGTACAGTTCAGCAATTGGGGGCAACGGGTTATCAGGGCTGCAGGGGAGAACCTGTCAGTGCTAAGGGTTTAGAAAAGAATGAGTCACAAGCATTTGGCAGGAAGGAGGAGGGCTTCACAGAGGAGGGGGTTCTTGAGGGGTGTGTCCTAGCCCAGGTTCACAGGCAAGATGATGAAGAATGGAGGGAGGCCCAGAAAACCTGCACACGGGGGACTGAATCAAATGGAAAATTCCAAACTGGGTGCTCTCATTCATTCAATAAATCATTCATTCATGCTTCGAAGCACAGTGTGCAGCTTTTTGCAGAAAGTCATTAAAATTCCATCTTTTTCCCTTCAGTAAAATTTAAGAAATATAGTAAAAAGCCATGTTCTTTGTTCTGTGTTCTTTTGTATTTTTACTCACTACCATGGGAGTTCTTACGTGCGCTCTACTGTTGTTGGCAGTTTCATAAAACAGAAAGCTTTTAAGGCCTGTTTATGGAACTTCATTATTTTGTTCAGTTTGAAACCAAATCAAGAAGCTAATTAAAATAATCGATGTTTACTTACCCATCAGTGAAGCAGACACACATCTTATGGGAGGGGTGTTGCAGAGGGCTGTAATATGTCTTCTGGAACATGGGGTGTGTTGGAGAAGGGTTGGGGGTCCTGGGTGGCCTCTACCCCATCAGCCTCAATATCAGGAGAAAGTAGAACCCTCTAAACTCATCGATATCTTTCCACTTGGTTTGCCAGGCTCTGAAATCTTTAATGTGGCAGGGTTGGCTGCCATGTACTATACCTACAGTTAGTCCTATGGTCTCTGCTTATCGCAGGGCTGAAGTGGCCAGAGGACAAATGGGGGGTTGGTTTAGTGTGAATGTGGGGTCAGCAGGCCTGGAATTGAGCTCACACTCTGCCTGTCTGTCCAATGCAGGGCGAGGGAGAGCTGAGTTCCTTTCCTGACTCCTCACCGCAGGGGTGAGACCATCTGATCCTGCCGCCCCTGTTCGCTGGCGGGCAGGGTCACTGTGTGAAGGGTGACTGGCCTTCTCTCTGCATTTCTCCTCCCTCCTGACTCAGGAGAGGTGAGCTGAAACAGGCCGAGGAAGGGGCACTGTTTCCTTCTCTCCCTACCTCTCCTGCTGGCCAACGGGAGGACGGCCATGTCCTGCTGAGGCTTGGGCTTAGGCCACATTCTCCAACCTGGGCTGAACAGCCTAATTTCTCTGAGTCTCCTTGTTTTCTCTAGAAAACTGAGGTGACATCATGGGTTGAAAGAAGACTGATGGTATATGAAGAATTACAATGCCTGGCATGTCCATTTGCCCAGTATTAGATATGAGGGCCTTTCTCCTCAGAGGGCTAAGTACATGGCAGCAGATCAAAAACTCCAACAAATTTTGAGGTAAAAAAGTTTTGCTTTTTTTAGCTCAGCATCTTTCAACTTATCACGGAACACCATTTCAAGAAATACATATTTACATTCTGAAATAGGCTTGTTTTACAGAGCTCCCTTTAAGAAATGTTGCCCCCAAATCAGAATAATTCATAGACAGCCCTCGAGCAGCTCCATGTTGGTTTGGTGGGGCCGGAAAGTCTCAATTTTCACAGAAAGTTCCTCGTGTCCTTCCTCATTTCCCTCATGGAGCTTGTTACTGGGTATGCTGTTTCCATTATTCACTTTGTTGCTTATACCTTCACCACCTCCTGAATGGATTTGGAGTAGCCTTGGGCATGCTCAGGTTTGCCTCAGACTCAGAAGCTTAGGAAGACCTTCCCTGGGTCATGAAACAGGAGACAGAATAGCTTAAAAGGAGGGAGAGGTGTGTCTGGTGCCACTCTGCCAGCGGGGCTCCCTGGGGGCACTGACAAGCTGGAGTGTTTCAGAAGAGGCTGACCCACAGTGTGGCCAGGGAGCCAGCAAGCCAGCCCTGAAGGAACTGGGGCCACACACTGAAGATGACACACGGTTCTGCAGGGCCTTTTGGAAAGAGGAAGCAGCCTGTTCTGTGCGGCTCTAAAAGGTCACACCAGGTGCAGCCGACTAGAATTTTCTAACCCTGTCACCACCGCCTGTGAGTCCATGAGCATGACCTTTCCCTGCCATGCAGGACATCCTCATCTGTAGACTGAAGGGATGGAGAAGATCCAAGGTCCAGATTGGCCTCCTGTGGCAGCAGAACACATTATATGTGGTCATTGTATTATCTCCTCACCTGGGGCTGTAAGTGGCAGTGTTTCTGGGTAGGGAACCTGATAGAGAAAATATTTGATTGTTTCTAGCTTTTCCCACCCACCCCAAATCAGCTGCATCATGGCAGCTGATTTTTATATGTTTTGTTTACTGGTGAGTTCCCAGTGACTGGAACATAACCAGGCATGTCGTAGGAGCTTCATAAGTACTGGTCAAGTGACTTCAATGAATAACTCTTTGTTAGGATTGTATCTTGAACTGTTCTGTTTCGGGAGTCACCTTAGTGTCCAGAGCCAAAGGTTCTGAAAAGTTGCAGAACTTTTTCTTAAGGTGTGTTCAAACTGCCTGGGGGAGAAAACCCAGCAGCTTCTGATAAATTGCATAGAAAGTGGCTCTTCCTCATAGGGTAGCATGACCCGGGATTTGAATTTTCTGGTCAACCCTTTCCTAACGGGTCTCCTAATCTCTGGGGGATGAAATGGGTTCCTGGAGTCTGCAGTGTTACCCAACCCAGCACGG